ACCCAGAGCTTTGAAAATCACATGAGGTACATGTGTGTGCATGCCCAAAATCCTGGGAGAGAATGGAGGAGAAATGATTGCAGCATGGCCATCCCCCCTGGAGAATGATTTCTCACTTTCTGTCTCTCCGTCTCTGTCTCTCCAGGAAGTATATGCACCCTATAGCAAAAAATCTCTCAAAAATGAAATCAGAATGTTTGCAATCACACAGCAGTTGGAGAGAGGCCACTGAATTATCGAGAACTTTGGCATAAGTCAGCCTCTCATTTGAAGTTCACTTTTTTCAGTGACACAAGGAAGAGGTCCATGTGGAAGACAGACTAGGAAAACTGACTTGGTCAGAAGTTGGCTTCATTCTGGGGTGCCTTTGATGGGACGAAGCGGTTCCTGTGTAACTCAGCATGGAAGTTTTACAGATTACCCTTAAAATGCAATTTGGACTAGAGAATGGGTGTAGTCTTATCCATGAGTCACGCCACAGCAGGAGCCCAGAAGATGATAGCTCACCAAGAAGGCTGAAAGGTCGGTCAGGGTTCACGCCCACTGTCACTCTTCCGGTGATGTCTGAGCCATGAGTGAAATGCTTTGAGCCTTGTCATCCTCAGAAAATTGTGTTTCTCAAATTAGACAGTACCTGAGAAAGCACCTAGTACCGTGCCTGAAATGGGTTCTTGGCCAAATCTAAACCTTTCTGCAATTTTCCATGGATTTCAGTGGCATACATAATTTCTATCTACTAATGCCATCCAAATATATTATATAAAAAAAAAAAAGAAAAAAAGAAAAAAATTGTTCTCTGAGCTATTGTGTGCATGTGTGTGTGGAGGGGAGAGTCAGGGGGAAGGAATAATGGAGGAGGGAACGGGGGAGGACCACTCTGCAGCCCAGTCAGGTGGAGATACACTGCATGTTCCAGCCCTCCCTTAGTGATTCCCACCTTGATTCTGGGATGTGATACAATTAAACAACCATGCATGCTAGCTAGTTGTCAGTAACTTGATTAAATCCACTCAAATCAGCATTTGCTAATATTTTAAAAAGATAAAACATCTATTGATCCTTTGGGACTGAACTCTGAAGAAACACTACAATAGCAAAAACTTACTAACAATTAAGATGCTGGAATATCCCCACTGAACACTGGTGCTTCTCATGCTCTAAATGAGCCCCCTTTCTGCTCCATTATACACTCACTACTCCCTTTAGCTTCATTCTAGAAGGTCTTCTCCCCTTCAAATACATAGAATATTAATCCTGTCTAAGCCAAAGAACACAAAATTCCTTGGTATTTAGATTACTGGTTCATAAGCACATTGATTGCTTAGTTTGTGAATCATTCTGGAATCAATTCCTAATTATATGTGGGGTTTCTAATCCATCAAAAGCTTCCAGGATACATCTCCAAACAGTCAATTGAGGGGCTCACATGAATTAAAAACAGCAATAATCACCACCCCAAGTTACATTTTTTAGGGACTTTAAATATTGGGTCATTGGAAAAGTCATGATGCATTTTTGCATAGACAAACCTAGAAAAATACATCATGACTTTTATATATTTTATCTCATTTGTCTCTCTGAACTAATTGTGGTATTACCCCATTTTACAGATGAGATAACTAAGTCTTTTATGATCATTCAGTGAATAGTAGAGCCAAAGTTCAAACTCTTTTAGTTCTAAGTCCAGTGATTCAATATCTGTAATTCCCAGTGTCCTAGATATGAAATGCACACTAAGGTTGAAACTTGTCATCTACATTAAAAAAAAATAAACTTACACCTTAAGGTCCTTGAAGAGTAAATATCCCTTCTTTCTTGCTGCCTAAGTGGCCAAGAACAGAGTTAAGGCTGCTGCTACGAAGCTTTCCTGCCAGTTCTGCTGCATCCTGGGGAAGGAGTAAGGTCTCAGGTAGGGACAGCCACACTGCCTGGGCCTAAACCCCAGCCCCTTCACTAACGGCTACGTGAACTTGGGCAAGTCACTTCCTCACCCTGTGCCTCAGCTTCCTCACCTGTAAATGCTGGATTACTGCCACGAAAAGGATGGTTTTGATGATGAAATAAATAGCAATGAAACAGAGCAATCAATGATGATATTCCAACTGCGAACTGTGGCTTACACTGTATCAGCACATGTACCCAGGTTCTGGCCGGTGGTTCTTGCCAGTTGTCTTTGGAAGACAAACCAGTATCCATTACACAGTTGTTTACCAGAAAAATGTGCACAGAAACACCTACTTACAGGTAAGGTTGGGGACAACTATATCATTAAAAAATTATGGAGATAAATGTAGGGTAATTTCTCTTTTCCCCTCCCACTCAGAAGAGAAACAACCTCATTTATGTCACAATCAAACCAAAGTTCTTTCTGTGTTACCCCTTGGTAGGCATACACTGCAGCATCTTGTTCTACTGGTTCCGATTATTTCAAGCAGGAACCTCTCCAGCACAGGCATATGAAAATTTATGTCCAGCACAAGCAAGAGTTTATTTAAAAGAGCCACAACGGCCAGCCTGTGGCCTAGTCATTAAGGCAGCTGAGTCCTGGACCTGGCAGCTTGAGAAGCCTGCCCTGCACCTGCGCGAACATGCCCCAAATCCCAATAGAACTGAGAAATGGAGGAGAGGGGATGGTGGCGTGACCATGCCTCATCGAAGGTACTAGCTCCCTGTCCCTCTCTCTTGCTCTCTCCTGGGAAAAATTAAATAAAATAAAAGAGTTGCAATTGAGGTTATCATCACATTAAATAAATTCTGCTGCGATTCTGAAATCAAATGAAGTTTCTTTAAAAACGTAAATTAGCCAATGTCCTTAATAATAACAAGGAATGAAAAGGGCATGTGGGCGAAGCAGTATCAATCCAGTGGCATTACTGGGAGAAAAAAATGGTCAGCTACATGATGTTCACACATGAGGTACCAAAGGCTAGCATTGGCCAGTAGCAAGTCGGATCAATATTTTTAGTTGAACTATTTAAAAACTCATTTAAAAAACAAGAGAAGTTAATGTATTGGTTTAGGAGCAATTTCTCTTTCTTTTTTGTTCTTCTTACATTTTTCTTGAGAATTCAGAATGTTTATTTGTAGGTAACTGGTATGTTTTCTGTAAAGACTGATCCTGAGGAATCATTTCTTTTAGGCAAAAGCAGTTTAATGGATTTTAGTTTGTAACCTCAGGATTATATTTTAATGTCAAGGGCTAGGACTTTCTTGTTCACACCTATTTCTCAGCTTCTAGTACTGTCTGGCATATAGTAGTGACTCAATAAAAATCAGTGGAGTTAATAAATTTGGGCCAGGTACGACACCAGATCAATGGAAGTGGGACTTGTTTGGATGCCCATTTTTTTTTTTCTGACAATGACTATAGAGACCTCTGCTGGCGACTGTTGGAACTACAATTCAGGATCGGAATGAGAATGAAGAGCCTGAGGAGAGGTTTTTATTCCTTTGTCCATATTCCATCATAAAAAGGCCATAACAGGGCCATCCTCCCTTATGGTGTTTGGTATGACTAAGATATGATGAACGTTAAAGCTGGGGTAAATACGCAACTTTTCTTTGGGATGAGCCGAGCATCAAATGAAAACAAAAACAGAAACAAACAAACAAACAAAACCCAGAAAACAAGCAGCTTAAGAATTTGTCACTGATCGGCCTTTCTATGACCACCCACTAGCTGGTCAGTTATTCAAGATCCACAGTCATGAAAAGTCTAGAATAGGAATCCAGTCAGTAATATTTACTATGGTCTGCTTATCTAGTTCATTGTGAGGATTATGTTAGTCTTGTTATTCTGAGGGTCATAGAAGAGAACTTCAAAAAGCCTGTGGAAAAAATAGAATTGAAGTATGACTTTATTTTGGTGCAAAACAATTTTGAAACCCACCCACCGTTGCTCATGATAACGTTTCCATGAACTCGTCAAAGACCCCCTCACACACTTTATACGCCTTCCACGTGTCACTGATACCTCCCCATGTCTACTCTCCTCTCTGCAATCTTCACCTCACCTCTGCTAGGGTTCTGAACTCATTAGGAAGACAGTTTCAAGCAACTTCATGTTTTTTTGAAAGAGAAGGCTGCCCTTCTCACTACCTCACTTTGCCTGCTTACTACAGTAACACGGTCCTAGAGTGACCTCTGGCTGCACGATTTATACATGTGTCTGTGAGCTCCATCCTGAAGGCTAGGCAGTTGTCAAGACAGAAAGCTCTCTGTGTGTAAAACTGTGTGCAGTCACCTGCATGATGTAAAGGACCCAGCCACAGACAACTTCACATTCCTAAAACGGTCTAGTAGCAGTGGTATTTTAGATTTGTGTGATAGGGAATGTGTGCTTGCCAGAGAGAAACAGAGAGAGAAGGAAAGTGAGAAATCATCCCCCAGGGAGATGGCCACACCGGAATCCCTGCTCCTCCACTCTCCTCTCAGGATTTTGAACACGCACACACATGCACCCAGTGTTTTTTTCAAGCCATGGGTTCTGGACCTGAACCACAGAGTCAGCCATGTGGGATCCAGCACTTTAACTACCATGTCATTCGCTGGCCCCCAACCTCACATTTTAAAAAATATTTTAAAAATTTATTTAATTCATTATTATTTTTTTTTTATTTGCTACAGAGCACATGTGTTCACTAGAGAGATGGAGATAGAAAGCAAGAAAGTAAGTCCCAGAAAGAAAGTCCCAGGCACGAGGTCTGGGACTCAAACCATTGTCAGCCATGTGGGAGTCCAGCATCTTAATCACCAAGCCACCTGCTGGCTCCCACTCTCACTTTTAATATATCTATACTCTAAAGCTATTGGTTTACCCATGATCAAGCAGTGAGAAAAAGAAGATTTGCTCTCCAAAATAAATTCTATGAACTTGTGAAATGATGTCTCAATTTATCTTATTAGGTCTGAAAAAGAACATTTCACTTTCCTCCTTAGATACATTCTGTGCATTATATGCAGGAATATTAAATAAGCAAAAAAAAAAAAAAAGAAATTACATTTGAGGAGCACCAGAATTCCCGGCTGGGTCCATGATTTGAAATTCCATAATATCTGAATTTACTTCTGAAGATGGGTTTATGATGTAAAGAATGGTCTTACTGTTTAAGTCCTTTTGGCTAAATTTCTCATGGATAAATTCACCTACAAAAAGAAAGAAAGAAATCCTATAGCTAATAAAACAAACCATTGAAGAGGAGCTGATCTAATAGCATGGCTATTTTATCTTAAACACAGCTTAAAAAGAGTCAAAATACATTTTTTTTGAGAGATTTTCGCTATAGGGCGCATGCGCTCACCAGACAGACAGAGAGATATAGAGACAGAAAGCGAGAAATCACCCCCCAGGGGGGATGGCCACGCTGCAATCCCTTCTCCTCCATTCTCCTCTCGGGATCTTGGGCACGCACGCACACGTGCCCGGTGTGAGTTTTAAGCCCCCGGGTCCGGGACACGAACCGCAGTCAACTATGTGGGAGTTCAGCAACATAGCCATTACGCTAACTGCTGGTTCCCACCAAAATACATTTTTAAGAAGGAATTAACATGATGCAACTATATTAGAATACAGATGCAATGAACTTACATGATGTTTTCATTTTATTTTGCTTCAGAAACATTTGCCTTACAGAAAATATAAAAATACAGAGATGGGGAGTAGGAAGGTACAGTTATAAAAATCTGGAGTTCTGTGCCTGTTCAGTGATATTACCATTGTCTTCAGGAAGCAGAAATACTTTGCAACACAGAGAACACATTAGGGGAAAATAAAACCCAGATTTAAAAAACAAAGAATGAACATCTTTTGGAATTCACGAGAGTTGAAAAAATTAGTCACAAATATGGATCCAGTCCTGATACTGTGTTCCTTTATAGTATAATCTGGTTGTTGAAAAAAATTATAAACAATGAACAGCTGCATATCAGTATTTGGTCCTCCCAGTCAGGATGAATTTAGGAAAGTTCACTTCAAGCCCTCTTTAGCACCAATATTGATTTATATACTACATCTATCAGGAAGCCCTCGGGAGTGTTTACCAACTGGGCCTGCACTTAATTTAATTACTCCCTAGCCCCGCCAGCCACTAGGTATTTTAAAAGGAGCAGTTACAAGGATTAAGAAAGTCGGTACCTGTTGTTGTGTTCTCCAGACGTCCATGTTGTGGGCCTCGTAAAATCTTAAAGACGATCTGATCGTCCTCCGTGTCAGGGTCTGAGGCCTTCAATACGCGTGAAGTGATGTAAATCCCGTAACAGCCATTTTTCAGCAGCCCCACTTGAGAAGGGGAATGCAAGCATGTGATCTGGGGGGCTGTTTTGTCTAACTGGTCCACCTGAATCATCAATAAGGACATGTATTATCCAAAGACTTCTCACCCTCACAGGACGCGGGCCTCAATAGGTCAACGACACACTCTCCCAGTTTCAGATCCCTTATATTCCTCATTTGTTAATTTCTGCTAAAGACTGACTTGTTTACAACACCCTCAGCAAATGTCACATTGCCTGGAACAGAGGCCAACTTTCCATTGCAAATATTGATTCCATTAAATAGGGGGGAAATTATATATATATATATATATATAATTTCATATATATATATGAAACTAGTAATGGAAAATTATCGATGATAACATGTATGATTAAGCCACTATGCAGTGTATTCTGGATGGGAAATCACATTTTGTATGCTGTGATGATGCTCCACGAATGAATGTAAAGTTAATTATTTGGGAAAACACTGTACTCCCAATCCATCCACTCTCAACCCTCATCTGGTCACTGTACCTGGAACAGTGAGTGAATCACAACAGAAACCCAGGGAACATTTGCTGAGGGAATACATTAAAATTGACTCGAGTATGGTATTGCAAAAAACGATATTAGCTTTGCTGAAGGACTTCCCTGTCTTCTCTGGGTTTAGTGATTTACAGAATCAGAATTGTAAAGGTTTATGAAGAGAACTTTTTTTGGCATGCCTTGGTTCAAATGTAAACATTTTGAATAAAAATAGAACTGTCTCACTAAGAAAGGTGAAAGGTGATTATTCTCAGATGTCTGTATATTGTTTCCGTGAGGCTGAGGCCCAGGAACCTAGCAGGTATACTCAGTTTGTAAAGATGGTAACTGTTCTCATCCCCGAGTGAGGTTCACCGCTGTGAAGGATGCCACTCACGCACGATAGTCTGTGAGGAGCTCAGTCTGCCGGGCAAGTGACTGCTGTAGGTTACGGATGGGGCAGGTGTGGATGGATTCACACAGATTCACAGACACGAGAATGCTGTTCTCAGTCCTCTCTACGTTAGTCTCTCAATTCCTACATTCGTTTACTCCACAATGATCCTACTACAACTGTTAGCTCGTCCCAGGAAAAGAATGAATTCACGCCAATGATAAAACTCATATATACTATAATAAACAAATGTGCAGCCATGATAAAGAATAAGGGGTAAGATGAATAATAAAAACTAATAAAAATTTTCTACAATTGTGTTCATTTATAAAACCCAGAAACTTATGGAAGGCCATTATAATATGTTTGAGAAGGGGAATGCAAGCATGTGATCACTGTAGCGACGTACAGTGATCAAATGAATAAAGTAATTAAAAAACAGGAAATTCAGAGTAAGTGCAAAGTATTAACTCTGAAAAACTGTAGATATGTAAATTAAGTTGCCACAGAAGACATCAAAAACAAAAATATGTTTTGTTAAAGACAACTACATCCACGGGACCAGCTGTTAGCGTAATGGCTATGTCACTGGACTCCCACGTAGTCGACCGCGGTTCGAGTCCCGGACCTGGTGCCTTAAACTCACGCTGGGCGCGTGTGCGTGCGTGCCCAAGATCCCGAGAGGAGAATGGAGGAGAAGGGATTGTGGCGTGGCCATCCCTCCGAGGGGGTGATTCCCCGCTTTCTGTCTCTCTGTCTCTCTCTGTCTGTCTGGCAAGCGCACACGCCCTATAGCAAAAATCTCTCCAAAATAAATAAATAAATAAATAAATAAAGACAACAACATCCTTACGTTTGTATAAGCATAGAGAAAAATCTAGAAGCATCTGCAAGAAACTGTCATTTGTTTCAGGGTGGGGAAAATTATAGCACCTCTTCTGTTTATTTTTATAAGGGATTTTGTTACACAAAACACAGTTTTTTCCTTCTCAGATTGGCAAGGGTCTTTTGTAAAATCAAAATAATCAGCAGGTGACACGGTGGTTAAGGCACTGGACTTCCACATGGCCGACTGCAGTTTGAGCCTTGGACCTGGTGGCTTGAAAATCATGCCAGGTGTGTATGCATGCCCAAAATCCCAAGAGGAGAATGGAGGAAAAGGGACTGTGGCCTGGCCATCACCCCTGGGAATGATTTCTCACTTTCCCTCTCTCTATGGCAAGCTCATGCACCCTATGGCAAAAAAAAAAAAGAAACACAACCTGTGTTAGGAAATATGTTCAGACACAAACATTTTTATATTTTGCTCGTAGAAGTGCAAAATGGTAAACATTTTCTAGAGAAACAATTTTATGTATCCTACAGAAACATCTAGAAGTATACATAAAAGTGTGTGTGTGTGTGTGTGTGTGTGTGTGTGTGTGTGTATGTGTGCGTGTGTTAGGACAGCAGGTGGCATGGAGGTTAAGGAGCTAGAGTCCCATGTGGCCAGCTTTGTGGTTCGAAATCTAGATCTGGTGGCTTAAGAGCCACACCATGGTGGTGTCCAATATCCCAGGAGGAGAGCAGAGGAGAAAGGATTGCAGTATGGCCATTTTCCCAGGGAATGATTTCTCACTGTCCTTCTCTCTGTCCTCTCTGGCCTTCTCTCTGGCCTTCTCTCTGTCTCTCTCCAGCAAGTGCATGTGCCCTATGGCAGTAACAAAAGAAGTAGAAGTCGAGAGATGTAGAATGACTACCAGAAGTTGGGAAGCATGGGGTGGGAATTAAAGGATGTTGACTAACAGAAACACAAATGCATATACACAGAAGGAACAATACCTAGTGTTAGAAAATACAGCAGGGAGAATGTAGTTAACAATTTACTGGATACAATGTTTCAAATGGTGGAGAGGAGGGATATACTAATGACTTTGATTTAATCATTACACATTGTATTCATTTACTGAAACATCAGTTGTAACAACTGTCATGTTAATAAAAATTCATTCAAAAAGAAAAATGACATTAATAGACAAAAGTGTGGGATAGAACTAATAACAATTAAAACATAATTTAAATATAATTGTTAATTTGTACAAAGTGCGTCATATAAACTGTGTCATTGGCATCAATACCTTTCTTCTTTTTTTTCCCTGTGCATCATTTTATATATATATA